ACAACTTAAGACAGACATATACGATCTAGGACTTAGGTGGATCAATTCGATCTACGCTAACATTATGCGATACAGTTTAATTTTTTTCTATTGGTTTGAGTTCATTAGTTAACTTAATTAGATAGATTTTATAATATTTAAGTTCATTAGTTTGAGTTTAATCAATAAATTATTTATGTATTGATTTGAGTTCATTAGTTAACTTAATTCCAAATCAACTCAATCGGTTTAATTTTACTTGACCTATTTATTCCAAATAAAATCTGATTGGGATAATAATAATAATAATAATAATAATAATAATAATAATAATAATAATAATAATAATAATACTATGACGATGATGATGACAACAACAATAATAGTGGATTTGGATTTTAAAACATGATACAAAACCTATACAACCTATGGATCCGACAAAATAAATCTGCACTAAACATGAGACCAAAAATTTGGAACGATTCGTTCCACCAAATGGAAATACGACCTTGTCGGTGCTTACCATTCGACAGTGCCTCCTTAAGAAAACTCCCATCACCAATGCCCTTTGTACTGTCTATCGAAATTGATCTCGCAGAAACTACCATTTCATCACCAACACAATTTTCTTTGGCCATTAAATATGACAAGAAAGCCTACGAACTACACGACAATGATCGTTCAGATCGAGGACCATTCACCTGATCACATCACGAGAGATGTAATCTCAACTTGGACCGGTAGGATTCACTCAACACGCCATTAAACTATCTGTGTTCATCTCTAATTTTCCTTTTCCTGTTTTCGTCGTCTCCGAACTATGTATGACGTTAAGCGTTGACTTTTTTTTGGAAACCTCTTCTTCTTTTTCACAGTTTCTAAGCGTTAAAAAAATAAATCCATAAATGATCATAGACAATCAATTGATAATTCACCTTTCTTTATCATCCGGCTAATGTAGTGTATTAGTCAAAATTAAGATGCTTAGGAAGTCAACCTAAAGCAATCTGTATAAAATCGAAAAGAGCTCGAGCTCGATAAGAATCTGTCTGATGCTTAAATCACAGAGGGTAAAGTTTTCGATCATGGGACATCAAACTATAAGTTCCCTTTTGTGTTTTTCGAGGGAAAAATACGAGAATATTTAAGGTATTTTCTTGCCTTCCTTGATGAAACCTAAAGCTAAATGAGATATTTATAGAATCAGAAGGCTTCGGCGACCACCCATGTGAGGATAAGAAGCCCATTAATATTATGAGATAGACTATCTAACAATGGATGGATTACGATGGTATTAATTTCTTAGAGTATAATCCAATAAGATCGATATTAAATGTTGACATCGAAGTGTTTGCCACTTGCTCTCGGTTGGCCAACCGAGAAGATGGCAAACCACAGCTTTAATGCTCACCGCAAGTTACACAGCACAGGATCTAACCCACTGTTGCTAACCGAGTGGAGGTAATCGGAGTGGGACTCCGAAAACACAGTGGCGGTATATGTGTATCCTTCTGAATCCTACGCTTTCCTGGGAGTGAAGAGTAGAGGCACCGAAGCACAAGGCAATCCAGCTGTTGTTGCCATAGATACGCATGTCTTCCTTGGAGATTTAGGTAAAGCTGTTCTACTGTACAGGATTTGGTGCAGTGCTGGGGTTTAATGGCCACAGGACAAAAGGAACAATCCTCCAGGGGTTCTGATAACCTGTGCGTCCTCGGGACTGTTGGAGATGGATCTCCCATGGCAGCTGTTGCCGCTGCAGCAGTGGGAGGGGGTGAAATCTAGCTGCAGTTATATGGCTGTGAGTGGAAACACATGATCTCTAAATGATGTGGCCCATCCCGGGAGTTCAGTCCCTTCACGGGTCTATCTGACAAGGAAAGCTCGATGTGATTGGAGACTCGCACATGCATGCACTCAGCGGTGGCTTTGATGCTGCCCAATCTCTCTCTCATCTCTCCAAAGCACCTTTGTGAAGCCTCTTCGGGATGTGACTGTCCAAAGAAGAGCTAGATTTCTTGTTCGAGATAATAAATACTTGCCACTGTTCTATTTCAGTTGCTTGATGCTGATATTAAGAAATATCTGCAAGTGTCAAGAATAGCATTCATGTCACATTCATGCCGTGAATTTAGGTTAAACTTCCAACAATATTCCCAAGTGATGTGATTATGTAGCGTAAACACTTCCCTCGATGGAAGACAGATGCAGACAAAAAGATTGAGCAGTATCAGATCGAATTCTTTGAGAAAAAGAAACGAATATGAGGAAGCACTGCACATATGAGACTTGAATAAAACCAAGCTTTAGCACAGCATTTAACTATGCAAGTGGGTTTTGTTTAAGATCAATGGTTTTGAGCTTAGCTTTGTACGCTGACAAGTGAAGGGTCATTTCATACAGAGCCCTAAACAAAAGTGACGCAGAATTGATGAGAAGACATATTTGCAAGTTGCATGAAGTTCCACAAGGAACCCCAAATACTTTTCCACCCCCACTGTTGTGGAAAGGATCTCCTCAAACCAATGACCAATGAACGATGAAATCTTAACATACTAAACCCCCTCGACTCATGGACCGTGACATGACTTGAGACTTCAAGCTAATCTTTTCTGGTGATGAGATGCGACGGATCCTCTTCTCCTACCTACTCTCTCGGCAAAACCAGACCTCCTTCAATCTGTCCATCCGAGGGGTGGCTTTCTGTAAGCTTTCTTGCCAAGAGAAAACAAGGTTTGGTTCAACTAGCGAGCTTGTGGATGCTTCACGACCACAAATCGCCTACCTATATATGTTGGAGAAGCAGTCGGCCACACTTCTTTCCCACACAAAAATATGCTTGGTGTGGAGATTGCTTTCGAGCACCGCATCTCCTGTTTACCACTCGTTCCTTCGAATGGAAAAATCGTGCCTTATCTTTATCAGATTCAGCTTTTCTTGATGCCATTCTTTCGTAAAGATCTCATATGAAAGACCGACTTGATTTGTGATCTCGAATCGCCCCTATTACAACTATGGCTTCTCAAAAATTAAGGTGGACGGGAATCTCGATGTCATGTACGATCTTCTGCAAGGATATATACCGCATTTCCAAGTGAAATCGGCAATTTTGGCTGAGAATGCAATGGGGACGAGAATTGGAAATCCATGAGAGACGATGTTCTTTGCTATAAATTCTCGGTAGAAATAATAGTCTTCGTGTTTGGACAAAGTCCAAATGAATCCAGGGATGACGACTCGAAATCGTGACCAAATTAGCATGGAAAGTGACCTCGGGTTAATTGCAGTGTGGTGCTCCGAGCTGCAACATTGTTGCTCACAGTTAATGTTGTCTAGGGATCCACCAAATCTCATGTTGTAGATCTCCATAACATGATGAGTACGTGGAAGTCCTTATCCAATCTTTATTCTCCAATCTCACTAGTTTATTGTACATGTCATGCAGGTTGGGAAGCTTCCAAAGAATATTTACCGAAACGAGTTACGTGTAAAAGAGCTAAAGAAGAAAAAAGATCCACAAAGCAAGCATCCCTTCCATCGCAATCCATCGTATAATATTGGATTACGATCGAAAGTTCTTCGCGGAGGATTTGCACGTGAGAAAATTGCTTTGGATTATCGAGCATGGATAGTATATGCACGTGGCTATCGATCGCTCGGGCGGAGGAATCGAATAGAGGACAGCTGTCTGGGATAGATGTGGTGAAGTGACAGGATGAGATCCATCGGTTTGATGTGATGTTCTCATCGCAAAGGCCGCATCATCCTTTCTTCCGGACCATCACTCCTCGCTGTTCGCCGGTCTCCGGTTCTGTCATGCTCGTGAAGCCATCCAACGATGTAGCGACAACACTCCTTGGCGTTTGCTCCATGGAACTTGATCTCGCTGGGCCTCTGGTTCTCTGTACATCCTAGGCACTGTCAGCGGTACGTGGACCTTTCCCACAACTAATACATGAAAACCCTAGTCAAGAAGATGATGACGACCTTTACCGAAATGGATCGATCACACGGAGAAGGAGGACTAGCTGGCTTCAAGTGTAAGAAGCAGGAACAGAGTATACAGTTCACTTTGAGGTGCTACATGCTTTTTGGCCCCTAAGAGTTATCACCGAAAGGAACCTTAGGATCTGCGCCACTGATGTAGCTTTTTAACATGTCACATAACTCGTCCAAGCTCCACAAGCCATCGACAATGGTGTTGCTGCAGTCGCTGTTAGCTACAGTGTAATCGGGCGACGCCGAATAGCCAAGCGCTGGTGCCGACACCGGGGCTAGGTCCCAGGTGCCTAGGTCGTAGGCATTGTTCATGGAGAGGCCACTAGAGAGTGGATCGAATGCGACGCCATCCAGCTCGTCGGGTGCTGTTGATGGGAACTCGGACACGGTAACCGGGAGTCGAGGGAGGACGGTGGAGCAGGAAGAGCTGCTGGGGCTTCGATTCTCCGCTACTGCCGGTGGCTCGTAGGAGGTGAGACTTCCGAACTGGTGATGTTGCATGCTTGGGTTGACGAGCTCATGGCGAGGACCTTGCGGAGCCTGGTCGGTCGTGGTGGTGTAGGCACCAAGAGATTGCATGGTGTGGGAAGAGCCCATCTTCTCAAGCAACCTCGGCATCCAATAGCAACGCACGGCGTCTCGGAACATGGCGCTGTTGGCGTCGACCTTGAGCTGTCTCGCCTGCTTCTGCACTCGAGTCCGCCAGTAGTTCTTTATCTCGTTGTCCGTTCTACCGGGTAGATGTTGTGCGATTCTAGACCACCTACACACGAAAGTTGACGTTTCGATGCATCAAGAGAGACCTTAATCGCAGAAACAGCTTATTTGTATATATGTTACCTGTTTCCCCACTTGGAGTGGAGTTCAAGAATCATGAGTTGCTCTTCGGGCGTAAGGTTGCCTCGCTTTATGTCGGGTTTCAGGTAATTCAACCATCTCAGTCGACAACTCTTGCCGGTTCTCTTCAAGCCTACGAATCAGCAAAAAGGATATGTAGCCCTAAATCTACAAAAAAAAAAAAAAAAAAAAAAAAACAAAGAAAGAAGAGGAAGAAGAAGAGGAAGCAAGAGTGGCCTTTGATGAAGTCATTAGCTAGCTAAGCAGGATAGATAGATGCCTGACTACCTGAACACCTAGCGAGGAGATTCCACCGGCCTTCGCCGTGACAAGCAATGTAGTGGATGAGGAGTGTGTCCTCCTCCAGAGTCCATGGCCCTCTCCTTAGCTCCATGTCCCCATATTTGCCGGATGATCCCCTTGTCTCAGACATGCTTTGCTCCCTCCCCTCCTAAAGAATGCTTTCCTATAGGGAGGCTTGGAGAAGAGGGCTAAGTTTCCGTGTTATATAGGCCATGCAAGAAGAAGGAAAGCTACAAATAATGGGACAGGTCAGTAGTAGAAGAACAAGTACCCCAAAGGTGAAACTTACTGGATCCTCTTTCTCTTTATGACTTGTGGCACTCACAAGGATTTTTTGGATGCGATCTACTCCTAGTCATAGACTTTGGGGTTTATAGTGGAGAAAAAAGACATCGAGCTGAGCTCCTTTGGTGGCTTTTGAAGCTGTTTTCAGATTCTGGCCCTGCAGGAAACGTGTTTGACTGACCATACAGTGGTAGGTAAATACTGGTGACCTTGGCGTTATTAGAGTGTGAGTGTGTGTGTGTGTGTGTGTGTGAGAGAGAGAGAGAGAGAGAGAGAGAGAGAGAGAGAGAGTGG